GTTTTACCCATTCTACTTTATTGCTCTCCTGTAGTGTTTCCCGGTCTTTTAAAGCACGACTTCAAAACAATTCGCCGTGGTTTGGTGATAATCAGTCGTGTATCACTAATCCCAATTGACTTATTAATCACAGATCTTATTGATAGTCACATCAACTCTTGTTTTGAATTTGCTTACAGAATTCTAGACGGCCCTCTTCATCCACTACACCCTGATCTATCGTCTTGTCGTTCCCATCCATCCATCCACACGCTCCTCATTTCGACAGCTACCCTCTCGCATTAACATTTATAAAAATTCCCCTGTATCCTACCTGGCCCGACTGCTCACCAAAAAACAGGTCTCAAATGAACTACGTCAAATGCTTCGTACATGATACGTATATCACCGACCTTGTTTACCTTTTGTTTTGATTATTTTTATTTCATTCTGCGCGACGAACAATGTACATTTTTAACGGAAATGTAAGCATATATGCTTACAAAAGTTACAAATACAAATACAAACTAATCACACAGTAGATAGTTTTCAGTGGGCCAAACGAAAAAAGCTGCAAGCTACGGGAGACTTGCGTTTGTTTTCACGTAAACAGGAACAATATTTTTTATATTATCAATTATAGACCGTAAATGGTTCTGGTAATCCTAGCCTACAGAATGACGCCAATCACGGGGCGATACGTTACAGTTTCTGGACAACTGTGATGAGTCAAGCTTCGCAGATGACGCCAGCAATACGCCTACGCGTTAGAGCTTCTGGTAAACGAACCACGGGTCGATTGTGCCAACCAATCAGAATACTGTGCGGTCCAGACAGAAGCTGTACGACGTCAATAATACGAGCACGTGATTGTTAGATACCTGGATAACCAATAAATGTCTTTTGTACATGATGTTTAAACCCCTTGTTTCCTTTCAATAAACGAATCACTATTCCTGTGGTCTTTTCCTTGCCTATCAGTTACGTGGGATACAGTCTTGAAGTACCAGTGTAATTCAGTGCTTCCGTGGCGTCCGTGATTCCTAATAAATGCTTCGTAATCCGTGATCTGCACGTACTTTAACCATTACAATTGTACACGTTGACCAGTGCCACAACATGACTTTGTCAACCAGAAGGTTTTCAATCTTACTAAAATCATCCACATTATGCACATAGGTCACCGAATAGCGACCTGTTTAGTCCTGAGTTCGAACCGCACCACCGCCGTTTATCTCTTACATTTCTATATTTTCTCGGGTAGCATTTGTATAGCCTCAGTTCTTGTGGTGATTCGGACCTACGAGATACCATGGAGCAACACATTACAGTATTAGGACACCTGTGATCAATCAAACTTCACGGGTGAAGTCACCAATGCGCTTACGTGTCACTGCTACTGGATTACATAACATAGTTCAATTGTACCAGCCAATCAGAGACCGTGCGGCCCAGACAGAAGCAAAACGATGCAAGAAATACTGGAATGCGATTGGTAGAAGCCCAGATGATCAACAAGTTTGTTTTGTACATATTATTTAATCTGCCCTATTTCTTTCAATTCACGGACTGCTATTCGTGTGACCTTTTCCTCGCGTCTCAGTTACGTAGGATATTGTACGCTTGTGCCAGTAGGGTCCAATGCTTACGTCATGCCTGTGACTGCTAATCAGTGATTCGCACTCCGTGATTTGCATTCCGTGATTCGTGTTTCGTGTTCAGTGCGTGCTACTACTACTACTACTACTACTACTACTACTACTACTAGTAGTAGTAGTAGTAGTAGTAGCAGTAGTAGTAGTAGTATTAGTAGCACTAGTAGTAGTAGCAGTAGTAGTAGTATTTCAAACATTACAGTTCTTTTCTTGGAAGTCAACTGTACATAAGTATACTGAATAAAGAGAAAAGGAGGTAAAAACACGTTGTTTCAGTATCGAAGTGATCTAGCTAACTATTACTGAAGACAACACCCGGAACAAATATGAATTGGCAATTCAGTGCAATCCTTGTGTGCGCTGGGTGGTGCAGCGATAACATACAGTTCTTCCATTCGATGGGTCCGGATTTCAGAACCCCGAACGGGCAGGTGATTATGCATTATTGATGAGCTATAATCAGAGTGAAACTCGTATCTAGTGCTCGCTGCAAACACTGGGTTGAGTGGATGAACTAAGGACTATGCGTGAAGATGCAGCCTCAAAGATGATTTGTTAAAATCAATACCAAGTATAATTTGAAATAGTTCAATTCAATTTTTCGAGGTGAATTTCAAGATCCTTATCAAAAAGAGCAAGATGGCTGATAGATTTACAAAATATTTATCGAGAAAATGTTCAAATTATCCAAATTAAACATATTACGATTTCTTAAACTACGAGGTTATAGCAGTCTACTTCCTCTGAAGTCATTGATGGATCATAAAACGGTATGCGATCTGAGTAATATATAACGTTGAAAACCGAGCCAGTACTTTCGAACTGCAATGCAAGCTTCATATGTTTGTTCATGGTTCGAATAAAACAGTATGACCGTCCTTAATACTTACTGAGCGTCTGAGACAGAAATGATTACACCAAACCGAATATGGGCAACTGATGGATTTACAGTCCCTGATTAACAACCTGGCTGTGTTATTAACTCCGGAAATTTTTAACTCTAACAGTGATCCCCGTATGTCTGTGCTCCTACTCCGTCCCCGGGTCTGAGAAAGTAATTTGTCAACCAGACGCACTAATTCCCTGCATATCTCTTCTCTTAAATCACTTCATTTATGGTGTTCTATCCTTTGTGATCTACTAAAAAACAAAATAATTATGAAAGCAACTCCGTGTGGAGCATTTTATTCGTTGTACATGCAAATCTCTGTTTAAAAAAATAAGTTACTCCCAGATGACATAATTGACATAGACTACCGTTTGAGAGTTCGAACTGGCGGAGGAGACGGGGGAATTAGCTAATCGTTCAGCCATCATCTCAGGGGAAATTTCGAAATGTTACTCCAAAATTTTGAACTTTAAAACCGAATCGCTTTTATCTTTATTACCTACTGATTGACATTGACTAATTCTTTCTGTATTTGTGCTGAACTACTGAGATTATATCACAAATAAGTGGGAACTACAGTATACACAATATTTTAAAAGCTTATCTTATTGTCCTGTTCATCTGTGGTGATACGCTTTCGCGTCCGTTTTCACTGAATTTGTTCCACACAACTTGTTTATCTTGTTCAAGCAAATCGAGACAACCGTGCACTTGGAAATAGTTCATTGAATACACGAACACTCACCATGGCTGTGAACGACAATCGAAAAAGTCCAGTTTCATTTCATCCAGTTGTATACCCCACATCGCACCTATTTGGAAAATTTAGAAGAGTGCATTGTGATGCGTGAGGTTCGTGTATCCATGGAGTTTAGAGTTGCAGTGGAGGGCGGATTCTTTAAAATGAGGATTGAATTCTGTGAACGGTGGCGTGGAGGGGTCACATGAAATCCGTGTGTAGTTGTGAAGGCAAAGTGGCACAAACATTTTTTGTGTCTTCCCAATTTACAATCGATCCACGGAAGTTCCAAAGGAATATAAAGTATGCAATTTTTAGCGTTAACACTTCAAGAAACCTCTTTGCAGGAATAAAACCTGTCTGAAATGTTTATTTGTTCCATCGTGAACGTTGCTGATGGTGGGGTTTTATTAGTTTGCTCTGTTTTACACCGGACTGAGATCGTTCTATTACTGTTGACCAGAGGTCTATTGAGATTGCTGATTGGTTAGAGTGAAGAAACAAACATATCTCTTTGGTGTGACCGTTTTGATTTCTATCGAATCTCGAATTCCGTGAAACTAACACTAACTAATACGAATGATTCTTTTGGTTGTTCAACTTCTCATTCCAAGTCAATAACATAGTTGTCATTGGCCCTCGATTTCGCAAAATTTGTGGCCAATATCAATTCAGTCCACATAGTATGTCTTCTTGTGCGAATGAAATAGACAAACACAAAAGCATATTTCTCATATCTGTGTTATTGATTGCGATAGCTAATGAAGAGGCTCGTTTATCACCGGTTCAGTGTTTAACACTGGTGATGCATTTTCACTCACATCCTCCAATGAACACACAAAAAGTAACCCATCCATATCTCCGGTTTACATCCTCATAGGCCAAGCAACAGGTAACCAACCTATGGTCTTCGGAAACATCTCATTCGAACAGTGTGTCAATCTGTATGTAGCACGTACACGACAGCATTCGATCATAGTCATGTACAACATTCACACAGTGTACAACTGTGTATCTGAGCTTCCCTCACTTTGACACACTCACACACATACAAAAGCAAACTTACCGGGATAATATTTGAAAAATCCCGTCGCACTGCCAAAATATTGCCATTTTAAAGTCCGATCAGAGGCGGCATTCTCACGAAAAACTTTGTCCAATCCTGCCGTCCAGTTCCCCACAGTACACAATTCCGGTGCTTAGGTCAGCGTGCGTTTTTGGTGTGGTTAATGGGCAAATAACACAGAGAAAATGAGCACAATCAGGGTTGTAATTGGCAATTCATGTATATATATATATGCCTGTGGTTGGCTAGAAACCACTAAAGTTGTTAAATTGTAGAGGAAATATTTTGAGCACTGTGTGACATCTGTCTACGGAATTGTCAAAAGTTTGTATCAACCGAGCCTGTGACACGTTCAATGAGGAATCGCAATATTACAAATCGCACACGTTGCCATCAGGCTATCCTAGCTTAAACAGTAGATTTTTATGTAACTATTTCATGGTATGTAACACTTCTTAATAGTGCAATCATCTTCAGCTCAATTCCGTTATCTATAGCACTCTCAGGAAGTACACACTGCCCGCAAATTCGTAGCCGGGTGGTTGAAAAGCATCTATGCACCCATAAATGTTAGCGATCACATTCCAATGGTAGATCAAATTGGGAGTTTTATCACTTAGGTTGGTTCGCATCCAGCCCAGGTAGTCTCCTGGTAACATGTGGGATAACCATCGGAGAACACCGAGGTCACGGCCATGCACTACAGACAACTTGTCACCAGTAATTCCCCACAGCGGTGGATTTGGTTCGTTCACTTACACAGATCGTACACATTGGTGGGCACATGCGCGACAGAGTAGTTGAGCGATACGTATTTGTTCTCGAATAACGGATTCTCCCGTAGTGGAACATACAGCTTCTCGCTGCAGTTTTGCGTTTCATTCGAAGCGAGAACCACCGGGAATAGAGTGATCGCTTTGGCCCGATAGTAACACTGCCAGGAAAGAAGGAGAACGTCAGGAGTAGCAGAAAGAGATTTGTCAATAATCCGCGAAGGAAAACGATATAGCAAGGTCAAAGCAACCAAAACAGTACCATACACAGTGTATGTATGTATTATACCCCGAAGTAAAATACACCAATTGCCGATAATTTTATGAGGAAAATATGCGTATTATGTGGAAATTTCAAACGCCGATCGAGGAATCGTGGAGCATTAGTTAACTGATACCAAAGATTTTCGAATGATCGTAGTTTCGATTTTTTCATATAACTTATCAGTTATGCAACGCCATGAAAACCTCGACCAGTTCAAGTATAGTGATCGATTTTGAGAATTCTCTTTTCTATATCCAAAATTCATAATAATAATAATAATAATAATAATAAGACTAATAATGATTTTTATTATTGTGTTTTAGTAATATGAAGCTTGTTTGTCCAAGCTCACGAAGTGACCATCGTCTGCATGCTATCACACGACTCGGCGTGATAAGGAATGAAGATTATAATATAATCGGTTTCACACCTAAACGATGAGGTTTCCTATTCCTCAAACGTTCCTAAAAGTACGTACATACTTCACTGGAATAACTTTTAACGTCGTCTTACAATTTCAACGTACGCAGTTTCACATTATATTTTTAGAGTTTCATAAAATCTCACTGAAAGCGGTGATGTTTCGTTTAAAGTAAGTACCGGACATTTAAAAGCGTGGTACTGAACACAGAATCCAAACATACTACTGGAAAGTTTCACGAAAAAGAGTTTTAGCAATGTGTTTTGTGGAGTATAGATAGATATTCATTCCGATTGTAATGGGCTTCAACGCATTTAAATCATCCCGGAATGAGACTTCTATCGGATAGATCACATTAATGATCACACTACTTGTTTTTGTGTCAGTAGCTACATTCTATTCGTGGATTTGAGTGCGACGTTACTACAAGCGAAGACAGAAAGCGTACAAGTTAGTGGTCAAAAGCCTACAAATATAATCCCTATCTTGACTCCTCATGGGCAGACTGGAAGATAAACTACTTAAGTGATAAATGAGCGAATAATTTGCACGTTGGAATCCGAAAATTTGACCATTGTTCGGAATCCTTTTCGCATTAGCCCTGTCTCGATTTTGTATTGGTTGACTATGGTCATACATTCTAAGTGATCGTGTAGCTTTATTTTTCCATGGCTTATACCTGTCGGTCAAACTGGAAACTGTCACATACAATTAGTTAACCGGCTTGATCTTCTGATGAGGATTAAGTCCCCCTAAATTCATAGAGAAGTGATATGACGTATCTGACCAAATGCTTGCACAATTGTCAAAAACCTTTCGCGTGAATAATCCTGTATATATTCCGGTCAATGGTGCTGTCGCGTGTTCATCGACCAATCATTATAAGCAGATAATTCATTCGTCACGCTTTCCGTGATTTTAAAACAAAAAAATAATAAATTTGGAAGGCAAAATGGATTGAGGGTTGTTTTCTGGTTACAGATTCGGAGATGAGTGAGAGGATATTGGTTCTTAAAATGATATGAATTTCGTGCAAATTACCGTTGGAGTTACGTTATAGGAAGATTATTTTAGCACGACGAAGTTGTATGGCGGAAGGTGATGGAGGGGGCAAGTGAGTTGATCACATCAGAATACATATGATGGAAATAGAACGTAAACCTGTTGTAAATTTCATAAACGGCTTAGAAACTTACTCCGATTGGAGGTTGGTCACCTCGTGCTTTATAAGCTTTTTCAGCAGCCAGTTTGATTTTCTGCGCCAGAAAAAATGAATCAAATGAATTTGTTGGAACTGTGAAAAATTACGTTTGAAACAGTACACACAACCGTATGTCAATATCATATCCAAACAGGTGACGTGCCTGAAAATTACATTGATAATCTGGGATTATTTTGCCAGAAGTAGCAGTTTTACGTGTAGTGCAATTCCTGGCATACTTGTAAGCATAAATTTACATTTCAACAGATTACATACACTCGGACTAATCATGCAGAAATCCGACAGAAGTTATCAATTGTCAAAATGAACATGTAACTTCCAAACTAACTGTTTTGTAATAACCTACTTGTGATGTGCGGCTGATTGTCTTTCAGTGTAGTATTAAAAGCGGATAGAATGATTCATACTGTGCCCTGACCAACTAATATATCAATTCCATCATGATACGGTATTACTGGTTTTGTCAGCGGACAGTGGCTAGAAATTAGGATGTTGGTTTATCTCACTATCTAACTGACCAGTATAATGGAAGTTCTAATAGCATAAAATCGCAATATAAAGTTGCGCGATTACTTTCCAGTCTCACTTGCATAACTGCCTTGCCCCACCCCGCCCCGTGTATCAAAGCAAACTCTGCGGGGAAGGAAAAATATCATAAGTCAGTAAAAATAACCAGCATAAACCGGGATAGCTGTTTCACGAAAGTTCTCCCCTAAGAACTTATGAGAAAAGATATAATTCCCATCACTTGCTTATTCTATCATCTTCAGAGATACATTGAAACAGCTGTGCAGATTATCCGCCACTTAGAGAGAGTATAATGCGGTAAATTTTCTGATTATGTGACTTACATCAACCAGTGCCTCTTTTTGTCGCACAATGGCCTCAATTTTCTCCACAGCTTTGTCGAGTTGGGCAAACGCAAATTCTTCATTTACCTCCTGGCGTCCGAAACTGGAGCCATGATAGATCTGAACCGGGCAAAGAAGGAAGGCTTTTGGAAGTCTACGGTTACTTTTGTGAGGTATACATTTTTGTTTGAAAATTATTTTTAATATATTTCCTTTTTCAATTGATTGGTCACATCATACTTTGTGATTGGGACTAAATGAAAAGTAGAACACATGTTCTGGATGAATGCTGCGTTGATCTGGATGGCCCGGAAGGGCTCATAAACTCAAATCCGGTTAATCAACCTCAGGGGACAGAAGATCAATCATTTGACCGTACCAATTCGACAGTTCACATCAATTGAGTATTGAATCCTGGTTAGTTTAGAGATTTTTGAAGCTATTAGGCAGAGTGCGGTTTTGTGTTCAACCAGAATTAAAACAAAGAAGCAATCTTTTTAGTCCAATAATGCAAAAAACGAAAAGTGAAGTGAACTGAATAAAGGGTTTCACAAGAGACATCAAAATTACTTTGTACAAACAGACAGACAGACAGACAGACAGACAGACAGATAAACATTCTCATCTCTCTATGAACACGTGACTGGAGCTTATTCTACGATATATTTTATCAAACGATGTGATCCCGTTTTTCCATCTGTGTTTGTTTTCCCCCACCGGTTTAACTGCAAACATGAGTAGCGGTGCTCAAGTGACATTAATCATCAGAACATCTGATCCCACAGCCCGTTATCGAGTCCCTCATTTTTGCATTTTATGGCACCTCTACATTGCCCACTATCTCATTATACCCTCGGACCGTTCATTCACGAGGAAAGCACAGTGGAAGAAAAGTAACATTGCTACTGTTATGATTGTAATTAGTACATTGAGGTCCTAATTTCACCTCTTGGTCACCGATATAAATCATGACTGGTCGGGAGGCTCCCCTGAACGGCTGCTTATATTATTCCTAATCGTCGTTTAAAATGAAATGTAGATAAATCGGCCAATCGTTTCAACACATTTGGTTGTAAACGAGACAGTTAAGAGAATATTTTCAGTCAGGCGAACCTTTTGTTGAACACAAAATGGTCCTCCAAAAGCCTCAGTATGGTCGGCCACAGATGTCTCGAGTTGCAACTATTCACTCTTCCCTTGCTTCCATAAGACCAAGCGTCTCAAATAGCAACTGTTGTGGAACCCCTACGCACTGCTTGCCCATTTTGGAGGTGTTTTCTCATCAAAGTGAAGCTAAAATCCGGGGGCCATAATCGGATTGATGAACCACTGGTAGTTCACCTAGGGGAGTTGATTGAAAACCCTGATTCCAAACCAACCAAAAGGAGGTGTAGAAACAACACACCTTCCTGGTTGTGGCAATGATTACCGGCTCAATTGGGGATCGAAGTGTCTTGGGCACTGCAGACGTTTGACCTATGAGTGTATGATCCGACTAACTTGATACCGGCTCCCGAATGGATTTTGGTTTTCACATCCCACCTCACTACCTTGGGGATCAGGCTTTGGCTAGTCGAAGGCTCTACTTATGAATTCCGCAAGGAAATTCACCTACCTTGACTTGGACAACCTGACAATATTGCTGCCGCATACGGATCATGGGTTGTTTTTTCTTTTCATAAAGATGATTGTACCGTAGTTTTTTATTTTTGCGCACACACTCTGGTCTCATAAGTATGTGAAAATAGAAAATAGATAAAAACAACCGAGTAATGCAGAGTTTTTATGAAAAGCAAACTCTGGCTCAATATTAGAGAAACCAATAAAGTGAACTCGCGATTAGCCAGCATTCTTTTCCCATAGCCGTCTGCAATTGGACAGAACGAACTTACTGGACGAAGTATATCATCACCGGGAATAGATTGTAGTTCGCCGAGCTCTTTCTCCAACAAATTGGCCCATGTTCGAACACTGATGAGGGGAATGGCAGTACGAGAGAAAACGTAAGTTAGATAGGAAAAATTGAGAGACTCGTTTATCCCCACAAACTAAACCGGTTGGTGATCTGAATATAAGAACCGCATTCGAACAGGGTTCAATGCTGTCAGGAAAGTCATTGAAACAGCTCAATTTTCAAGTTCATCCGTAACGGAAAACCTAAGCGATGCAAATGAGCACTGTGCTTGTTTTGTGCAATCCTTGCTATCCTATCACATCAAGAGGAAGGGGGGAGGGGCGCAAGAGGTTCGCTTAACCGGTTAGCGTTCATCCCATATTTTAAAAGTAATGTGGCTACTGAATAAGATCTTGACAGGTAAATGTTATTTAAAAAGTCACAACTTTGGACTCCCTGTTTACTGTGCCCAGATCAATAGAAGATGATAATACCGAACAGAGTGACCGACATCTTTGAGCTTCTAGTCCTGTTTTGGCGTGCGATTACATTAGAATCAAAAATGAGGAAGGGCCCCAATAACTCTAGCTTTTCTCATTCTATATTTTCACTAATTTCCGTTTCACCAGTGAGGTTTTGCTCACTCATGTTTTCGTTTATACCACTATCTCCTATGTGAGGATAACGCAGTCAGCTGGTTGCCTGTTTCGGACAACAGTTGTTCATGTGTTGTGATCTTTAAGCTGATCTGTGCACCGAGAAAACCAGTTGTTGCGCCATTCGCGCACACTCTAAAAACGGACTAAAAACTTACATCATTTTTATCCAATTGAGTTGTATTAGTCCAAGTCCTTAGCTGAGCAAAACATTGCTTTATTCTGTTGTAGATTTTACTACTTGTTTAGCTTATCGCTTAATTTTGCAACCGAATTAATGGACACTATTTATCTCATTCCGTATACATATATCACTTTGGTGTAGCCCTAATGAAACGCAGACTCCGAAAACGTTGTCATTTGTTCATACGCAGTTAGATATTTCTAACAATCAAAATGAGGTTTGTGTTCTCCTTTCAATTCCGTTATGCAATAATCTGTTTGCTCAAACATTGATGTTTTTCAAAATTTATTCCGGTTTGTTTCATAGAATGAGTTGGACAACATAGTGTCAAGTTCAAATCCCAAACCGTTCTATCCCCCCCCCCCCG